AGGGAACAAGATGTTTTCCATTGTTCCCCACATATCTCCTCCCAGTTCTCCTTTGAAAGCCCACAACTAGCATCCTTTTCCCATCTTGCTTTTATGTATGTTGTATTACTTTTCTTCAAATTTTCCAATCCTGTATACAGTTTTGAAATTATTTTCTTCCCCAAGTTTGATTCATTTGCTAAAATAAACATCTTAATTACACCAGATTCAAGCTCAGTTAAATTAACCTTTCTTAGTAATTCCTCCGTATAGTGCCTCAATTGTAAGTATCTGTGAAAATCTTTGTTGTTTAGTTCATATTTATTCTTTATTTCTTCAAAGCTTTGTATATTATTTTTCTTGACCATCTCCCAGATTATCTTTGGACCCTTTTCCCATTTACTAAATGTTTTGTCTGTTAGATTAGGTTTAAAATCTGAGTCATGAGCTAATCATCTTAGTACTCTACTCTGCTCTGTCATCCCATATTTAAGAATAATTTTATTCCATATGTCAAGAGATAATCCTAACCATGGATTCGATTCCTCCCTAAGGTGTTTTCTCAATTTGTTATCATTTATTATGGCTTGTAGAGGTATCGTGGGTGACATAGCACATTCTATATCTTTCCATTTTGCAGTATATAATGGAGAACATATGTTCAGTAGAGTACTCAACTGTGCTGCCGTATAGTAGCTCTTCAGACAGGGTAAGGCCAACCCCCCTTTATCCTTCGATAACTGCAAAGTTCTGAATCGAACCCGTGGTTTTCTTCCTTGCCAAATGAATGTCGATATAATTTTATCCCATTCTGTAAACTCTTTATCAGTCACCTCAACTGGAAGAGATGTAAATAAATACAGTAACCTTGGTAACACATTTGTTTTAATCATTTCTACTCTTGACGTTAAGCTTGTAAAGGGGATTAAACTCCACCTTCCCATATCTAACTTTATGATTTAAGACTTTTTAAGACATTTTAAAGATCTGCAGGAACCAAAAGATTCAGATTTGAAGTTAAAACTTTAAACCTAAAAACCTGATGAATAAATTTCAAATCATCACATCAATTAAAGAAACTCCAGTTTTCCTCAGACTGAGTACTTCAGTGTGCTGATACTGAGTACTAACAGATCCTGGTACTTCTGCTCAGGTTTGTGTTGTGGATGACTCTCAGCTACTACCGCTCCGCTTTCAGCTCATTATCTGTAATGTTGATTGGCTGCGGCGGCCATCTTGAATAATTAAATATTCACCTTGTTGTTTGGGCACCTCTTTCCTTCCAATCAAATCCCAGTTAGTCGCTCCGAAGACGAGCAGCTGACCTTTGACCTTTGGTAACTCCAGTTTCTGCAGAAATTAAATTAATTAATTAATTAATAAAAGAGCAAAACAGAAACTGAGAAACAGAAATGAAGTCAACAAATTATAGTTGTTTGACTTTTGACATAAAGAAACGACTTCCCTCAACGATAAACACACACAAAAAATAATTTTTAATTTAAAGAAAACTTAAAAAAAAAAAAATGTGATAAATGAACCCAGGAGCCATCAGGGGACTGAACAAAAAAACAAAAAAATTAATAAACGGCAACAAACATTCAATTTTTTGACCCATGTGCAATAAAAAATGTGTGCAATATAAGTGGAATATTCTCAGGAACATTTACAAGCAGTGTAGAAGAATATACTGTAAAATTTCCCTATTCTTCATTTCTACATACAGAAACTCTTTGATTTCTCTTTTTTGGTGCACATTTTTATCTTTATTTGATTTTAACTTGTCTATTTTATTGTATTATCTTCTCTCCTAAAGTTATTTTATCGTGTCTCAAAAAACAAGCACCTTGGAGCAGCGAACCCAGTTTCATTGTAATGCAAATTATAACAACAAAGGTGATTCTGATCCAGAAACCTGGAATCCAGAGAATCGTTTCTCAACAGAAAGCAGCTAAAGAAGAAAACTAAACTCTGAGCCAAAGGTCAGACTGCAGGTAAATAATTAAACAGCTTTTCTTCATCTTCATCAGATAAAAACGTTTTCATTTACAGCTGATCTTTCAGAMTCTTTCAGCTTTAAACAAACCGTTCATCCTGACAGCAGAGCTGCAGACAGAGCTGAGGGCACATCGGAGGCAAAGACTAAACAAAAGAGAAGAGAAAAATCCAAACTGACTATTTTCTCCTTGACGTCGTCGGCCACGGTGACGGGCTGCAGGCCCGACTTGGCGGCGGGCTTGCCGGGCTTCTTGTTGTTCTCCTGCTCGAAGTCGAACTCCTCGTCGCTGCTGAAGTCCCGGTCTTTCCTTTTGCCGCTCGCCCTCTTCCTCTTCACGCCGCCGTTCCCCGACACGTCCGTCACCTTCTTACGTGGCATCCTGTCCAATCAGCTGTCAGCGGAGAGAAACCGAACCAAAGATGAAAACCAGAGAAGTAAACAAATCATGTTTGTAGGCGACGAATAAAAGCAGAGGGACATAAAGTTTTCAGGCCACGCTGGTTCTGTAGTGAGCAGGTGGAAGAGAGCCTGGAGAGGTGCAGGTCTAAAGAGGAGTGGAAGTCAGAACTGGTGTGTGAGAATGAGAGTACAGACGTGGAGCAGGAGGACTGAAGGTGGACGAGGTTCAGTACCTGAGGTGGACCGTCCAACCCAACAAGCAGAACATGAGCGAGGTGGAGAGGACAGAGCGGCGGGGTGGAGACGAGGATTTGTGACAGAAGAGCTGCGGGACGGAAAGGGAAGGTTTGTGATGCTCGCTTTGGAGACGTGGAGCTGACAAAAAGACAGGAGGAGGAGGAGGAGATGAAGATGTTCAAGACCCACTGTCCCCAGTCCCTCAGTGTTGGGAGCTGAACCTGGCAGGAACTGGTTTACTTAGTGATCTGCATTTTCATTTATATGCAACAATTGACAGGGTTCCTACAGCTTAAGGCAAGTTAAATTTAAGACTTTAAAATGCTTTTTAATGCCACTTGAAAGGAAAATTAAGACCAACTTCACAATAAACACMAATGTGAAAAAAAATTACCCAAATGTTTATTTTAACGCAAAACAACTAGTTGCGGCAAATTTGGTAAACACTTTTAAAAAATAAATCAATAAATGTTACCAATTATTTTAACATTTGAGACAAACACAGTAATCCTATTTACAATGTGTTATATTTTTAAGACCTCTGAAAGATTGATTTAAGACATTTTAAGGCTAATTAAGGCCTTATTTTTGGATTGATGAATTCAATGACTTTTAAGACTTTTTAAGGATCCGCGGGAACCCTGATTGAAGTCTGCGGTAAAACTTGTAAAACCATCACAAACCCTAGTTTTATTTTACAGAAAAGAGCGATAAGAATTATTACTAGAAAAAATATACAGCCATCCATCAAATATATTGTTTTATGAGTTGAAATTATTAAAATTCTATTGTAAAAAATATTCGCGTTCAAAGACTGAAGTCATTAGAAAACCACCAATGTTAAAAAATATGATTGTTAGACGAAATAAAACCATATAAAACCAGAATTCTGGAGTGAGGATTTAATGCCATTCGGATCTGACAGGAAACCACACACTTCCGAAAAGCCAGGAAGTTGATCCTTTTATACAAAGTCTTCAATGCCCGCGTTCGCCCCCTACTGACCTAAGCTGAATCACGGGCATTCGTACACAATTCTCCCCTACATGTTCTCATAACGGAGAAATATGTGTTGTTATAGATATTTCAAACATGTAACTAATCTATATCAATCAACACATTATAGATTAATCATTATAAAAAGGAAAACCTAAAAATAAAGTGTTGTGCTTTTAAAATCAGTACTAATCTGTAAAAACTATAAATTTCTTCACTATGATTTCCTGTTTCGTTTCCCACTCGTTTCCTGTTTTTGGTATATTGTCGTTGCAGCGCCACACTCAGGCCCGGCATAGTTACTGCACTGTTTTAAATCAAGCTTTTCTTCATTTCTGTGTCGCTGGAGACATTTCTAGAATCAGTGACATGTTTTGAGGATATTTTGAGAGATGACAAATAAAAACATTGCTTTGGAAAAACTTCTATTTATAGAAAATCTAACTGTTTTGTTTTAAATGGGAAGGTCTAAAACAAAAATATTATTGTGTTCAATGGTTTCTTTACCTGACAAATACTTTTAAAGCTTTCCGAGTCTTTGTAGTAATGCTGATTTTGGGTTGATACGTTTAGAGACAAAGCTGTGGAGGGTTTGGACATGTCCAGAAGAGGGACAGTGGACATGTTGGACAAAAGATGTTGAATATTTGACAAAGAGAAGTGGAGGATGGAGATGAAGGCAGAAGATCTGCTATGACAAAAAGAAAGTGGATCTCCAGGTCCTTCTAAAAAGACTTTACACATACAGGAAATAAATAATAATTTGTATTAATAAATCTGTAATGAAAGTAAAACAAACTGCATAAAAGTAGCAAAAACCTAAAGTTAAAAATGTAAACATTAAGAAAAACTGCTTCACTAAACAGAATCACAAAACTACACTCAACTACCTTATAATTAAGACGCTTAAGTAAACTTTATACAATATAAACCTATAAGAAAGTCGTGAATAATTAACTTAAAAGGTAACTTAAACTTATTTGTAGAGTTTTGTTTGAGACACTTAAAGTAGCTAAAACAAGTTTCCTCCACCGTATGATCACATACCAACCATTAAAACGTCCCCAGCTTCGTCTCATTCGCTCCCAGCAGCTTTTTAATTCTAAACCAGAAGAAACTGGACCGAGAAACCCGGACTAAAACCAGCCCGACCGGGAACTCGAACCTCCGCCGGTGCTGTTAGCCGTGCGTTAGCTCGGCGATGCTAACACCGCTCTTTGTTCGGTCGCTTCATTAGCCGAGCTAAGCTAGCTGCCGTAAAATAAACCCAGCCGTACAGCAGGTGAGCTTACACCGTGAGCTGCTCCACGAACCGGGCCGGTAAAAGTTCGAATGTTTAAGAAGAAACGCGATTTAACCTCAAAGTAGCCAAAAAGTAAGACCGAGTTTAAATTTGCTTAAAAAAAAATCGGGCGAATGATGGGAGCTCATTATGCTAACTCGCTACTGTATGCTAACAAACAGTCATAAAGAAACAAAACGATGCAACAACAACAAACTTTAAAAGGTGGATTCAGATATTTTTAAACGCTTCACGTGTTCAGCCTGATGTCAGTTTAGTCTCTGTGAGGTTATTAAAAACATATTTCTGTGATTTCATAAATGTAAGAATAAATGATATACCGGTGATTTCCTGATTCAGCAGCTCTCTGTCCGTCTTGGGTTTGATTGATTTGAACAAAAGAAGCTGCAGTCTGCTTTCACACCACAAGGTTTTTACTTTTCACACAGGAAACACGACGCGAGCGGACCTGTTTGGACCGGGCCAGCCGCGGAACCAGGCCCGAACTCATCTGGACCAGAAAGTTTCACTTTTCCTGCAGGAAAGTTTCACAAATAAAAAAAAAACTTTTAAAGATCAAACAACGTTAAAAGGACTTCCGCTCAGTTTTTATTGAATATTAACCAACAAAAACAAAA